ATGCACATACGCATCATAAACATACAATCTCATTTATTCTGAGAACATCACGCATGTCATACATCATGACATTGCATACAACTAACGTTTTGTCTTTTCAGGACAAAATTCAATACAACGATGACTACTATCAACTGTCGTAATTCCAGATCCGATTCCTGTATCCTGCCAGGGTGTATCTGTTGACGACTAATTCCAGACTCGATTCCTGTATCTTGCCAGGGCATGTCTGAAGATTTTGAAGATCCGATTCCTGTATCTCGCCAGGGTGTATCTGTTGATGACTAATTCCAGACTCAATTCCTGTATCCTGCCAGGGCACGTCTGAAGAGTTTGAAGATCTGATTCCTGTATCTTGCCAGGGTGTATCTGTTGACGACTATTTTCCAGACTCGATTCCTGTATCCTGCCAGGGCACGTCTGAAGAGTTTGAATATCCGATTCCTGTATCTTTCCAGGGTGTATCTGTTGACGACTAATTCCAGACTCGATTCCTGTATCTTGCCAGGGCACGTCTGAAGAGTTCGAAGATCCGATTCCTGTATCCATCCAGGGTGTATCTGTTGACGACTAATTCCGGACTCGATTCCTGTATCCTGCCAGGGCACGTCTGAAGAGTTTGAAGATCCGATTCCTGTATCTTGCCAGGGTGTATCTGTTGACGACTATATTCCAGACTCAATTCTTGTATCCTGCCAGGGCACGTCTAAAGAGTTCGAAGATCCGATTCCTGTATCTTGCCAGGGTGTATCTGTTGACGACTAATTCCAGACTCGATTCCTGTATCCTGCCAGGGCACGTCTGAAGAGTTTGAAGATCCGATTCCTGTATCTTGCCAGGGTGTATCTGTTGATGACTATATTCCAGACTCGATTCCTGTATCTTTCCAGGGTGTATCTGTTGACGACTAATTCCAGACTCGATTCCTGTATCCTGCCAGGGCACGTCTGAAGAGTTTGAAGATCTGATTCCTGTATCTTGCCAGGGTGTATCTGTTGATGACTATATTCCAGACTCGATTCCTGTATCCTGCTAGGGCACGTCTGAAGAGTTCGAAGATCCGATTCCTGTATCTTGCCAGGGTGTATCTGTTGACGACTAATTCCAGACTCGATTCCTATATCCTGCCAGGGCACGTCTGAAGAGTTTGAAGATCTGATTCCTGTATCTTGCCAGGGTGTATCTGTTGATGACTAATTCCAGACTCGATTCCTGTATCCTGCCAGGGCACGTCTGAAGAGTTCGAAGATCCGATTCCTGTATCTTGCCAGGGTGTATCTGTTGACGACTATTTTCCGGACTCGATTCCTGTATCCTGCTAGGGCACGTCTGAAGAGTTTGAAGATCTGATTCCTGTATCTTGCCAGGGTGTATCTGTTGACGACTATTTTCCAGACTCGATTCCTGTATCCTGCCAGGGCACGTCTGAAGAGTTTGAAGATCCGATTCCTGTATCTTGCCAGGGTGTATCTGTTGACGACTAATTCTGGACTCGATTCCTGTATCTTGCCAGGTCACGTCTGAAGAGTTTAAGGATTCGATACCTGTATCCATCCAGGGCACATCTACATAAAGAGTTTGAAGATCAACACCTGTAACAGGCCAGGTAATTATTTTTCTTTCTCAGGTACGCAAGTTCTCGCTAAGGAATCTCTTACGCGATCGACACCTAGATGGCATCTGTAAGCCCATCCACATACCAACAGTCTCTAAAAGGCATCCATAAGCCCATTCCCGACAAGGCTCCGTCATAGCTCCAGATGGAATCTATAAGCCCATCCTCCTATCCACCATCTCTCCAAATGGCATCTGTAAGCCCATTCCCGCCATCACACTGCTGATACTCTACTATGTGAGTGCAAATTTCTGGGCACTCTAGTGTTCAATCATCTTCCACCTTCGGATTACGAAAGGCACGCCAGCCAATCTACATCCTCAGGTCTAAGAAGATGGAACAGGGGCAACTGTTGTCCCCCAAAATTTGCCCTCCCATATTCTTCAAAGATTTGCCAAGATCAATCTCCAGATGATTCAAAATCTCTCAAGGGTTGCACAGTCCAATGGCCTCCTAACAGTCAAAATTAGGGTTTTGGTTCTTGCAAAGAAATTGAGGTTTTCAAGGGTCCAATCAAGTCCCATATGCCTGCATACATTGTCAAGCATCCATATGTCAAGTTTCAAGACTCACAGCATCAAATTGCACAGTCAAAAACCCTAATTGCTCCACAATCAACTGCAGGGGCAAAATGGTCATTTGACAGTCAAAAGTCAAAATTTTTGGTCAACATCTTATTTTGAAGCCACAATAATCATTTGATCAATTCTTGATCATGATTCTCAAAGCATGGCTCAAAAAGTCTCAAGATGCAAAAGTTTCTATTTTTGGACAGTTGAAAAAGTCAACTGCAAATTGACCAAGGCATAACTTCCTCATGGTTTATCAGAAAAATCCCATCCAAAGCTCATTTTGAAGAGAATGACATTTCCTACAACTCATCTTCACACTTAAAGTCCAATAAATGCTCTCACAAAAAGTTATCAATTTCAACATTATAGGTCATTTTCAAAAGTCAACAAAAAGGCACTTTAAGTCAAAGACCATAACTTGAGATTGGTAAATCAAAATGACATGGGACCAAAAGCATTGGTTAGAGGACTTCAAGACCTTTCCAAAATGTCCAAGAACATGTTCATAGCTTCAAAATTGAGCAAGATATGCATTGGAGAAGTTGGGAAATTTTTGGGCATTTTCAAAAGTCAACTTTGCCTAAAACACTTCAAAATTGCTAATGGGCCTCAAATTCTTCCTTGAATCATTACCCAAAGCCTATGCACGACCCATTGAGCTCAAAGGGATTTATTTTCTTATTTTTAATTAATTAATTGAATTTTTATTCTTATTAATTCATTTAATTAGATTTAATTATGAGAAAATATCAAATAATGCTTTTTCAAATCTTTTTGTGCAGCAAATCAAACTAGGGCAAGCTGGCCAAATCGTTTCACATCCAAAAAAGGAAAATCATCCATGATTGGCAAATATTTTAATGAAAAAAGATTGAAAAATATATGATGAAAATCAAAGATTCAAAACATTAATTCATGGATCCATGGGCTCTTTCTTGACCTAATTTGCTTCACATACTTATGCACAACTCAACCCTATTCCACAGGACACGAAAAACTGCTCACAAACTCAGAACCAATTTGAAAATTTTCATAAAAAAGCTTGAAACCGATTTCATAGTGGCAGCATAATTCAAAGCTTCTAAAGGATTCCAACACCTTGCTGACATTGCTAGGAAGCTTTTACAATCAAGAACGAGTCAAAACGTGCAAAGAATCGAAGAACATAGACCACACAGTTTGCTATATTTTCTAAATTCGTATATCATCATTCATGCGCTTTTAACAATTTTTTTGGATTGATTCATGCTCATAGGGACCTTCTGAAGCTGTTAGTACCATTCAATTGAATTATAGCCCCCTGAATCGAAATTCACCATGGATGAAACCTAGGGTTTCAGAACATCCAAATTAGGGCTTTCCTTGTATGGAAAAATTAGACTTCCAAACCTATATGGATAGACTCGTTGCAGCAAGCCTGATTCAATGACGCCCTCGCGCCTTTTTTATATTTCCTCCTCTTCTAATCGCTATTTTCTGGACTTTGGCTTTATGGGGGTTTAAAACCCCCGCTATCTTATTCATAATTGCAGGGAAAACAAGGAAGAAGATGGACGTGGCCTTACGCTATTGGGAGGTTCAAATATCTGGCGCGCTTTTTGTCTTATACCACTGACCATTGTTTTTTGTATATTATATTTTTTGTCTATCCATATAACAAGCGCGTTGCCTGGCTCAGTTGGTTGATGATGTGTCTTGTAGGTATAGGGACCTAGGTTCGATTCCCAGGTCCCCCCACTTAATTCATGATTTTGGTTATAATGCTTTCCTATGCAGCGCTTCATTCAGTGGCCTACCATGATCCTCATGCCTGTGCTTGCCAAGTGGCCAGGAGATCCCCTCCAATAGCCAGAACGTGAATTCCATGGTGTACCTCAGTCAACCAACGCGCATACAAGCATGGAAACACTACAAGAAAATTAGTGTTTAACGACACAAAAATTGCGACAGTTATGTGATAACTGTCGTAATTGACATATAGAGACAGTGTTTACGACAGTTGACACCAACCGTCCCTAATATTTATTTTGCGACGATATATTTAACCATCATAATATTATTATTACGACGGTAAAAACAACCGTCGGCCCCCATTTAACACTTTTAACATTGATTTTTCACCAACAACTAGTCACGACGGTAAAATTAATCGTCCTAAAAGGCATATCACGATGGTAAAGCACCCGTCGCACCCTTAAACCTTTCACGACGGTAAAATTATCCGTCCTAAAATTCATTTCACGATGGTAAAACAACCGTCGCACCCAAAACCTTTAAAAATCTCTTGCTAACTTATATATTTTATCTAATTATAATTGTTATGTATATTTAAGTTCTCTCTTGTTAAGGTTAAGTTTATGCATTATTATATATTCTATGAATTTGATACAACAATGGTGTTATGTTCAATTTAATCAATCAAATAAATTTAATCTTTCATCTTTTTCTCAATGCTTGTTATATTTGTATTATGCTTGAGGAGGATCTATGAGATGTCGAGACGGTCTGATAGGACTAGACCAAGGGTAACTTATGGTTATGCCTCGAAAGACATGACTTTTATAACATGATATGTGGATTTAATTGATGTTGAAAAATGATTTTAAGTTTATACCTAAATAATCATTTATCATGAGCTAAAGTATATACATAGAGCTTGACATAATATTCACATATATAGTTGAAACACAATGTTATTGTTAAATTTATACCTAATCCTAACTAAACACAAATTGAGTTGCACATTTCCTCTGAAGTTAGAATTTTGATAAACCCATCTCGCAGCCATTACAAATCGTGTATTGAAGTGAAGAATGCTTCCTCAGCGAATGAAGAAAGCCGTTACTGATAACCCTAAAAAGCTCGCAAACTTGATCGATCTCGTTAACCTTCCTCCCACTCTCAGAGACTTCGTCGGTCAATCTCAGACTTCTCGATTAACCTGTTTCATGCGTGTTTGGTCCTACGTCAAAACCAACAATCTTCAGGTTCTGCTTTGTTTTTTCAACTCATGAAAATTGATTCACATCAAAGTAATTGTTGTTATTGTTCTGTTTTCAGGATTGGAGAATTTAAACTTCGGCGACTTCAAGTTCGCTTCCGTTCCCAATCAACCACTCCCTTCCACCTCCGGTTGGGGCAACTTCGTCAACCATTCCAATCACATCAATGGCACCATCGTTTCAAAACCCTCTGATCCATTTACAGTTTCCCCGGATCCCCTCGGGAAAACCGCAAACAAAGCTCGCGGAGCTATTCCGCTTTCAATCTTCGGCGAGGAAGAAGATGATGAACCTGTTTCTGATTCCAGTTCCAATGATTTTTTCTCCAACGGTGGTGGTGCTGTTGTGAAAAAGGGATCCGATTCGAATGGTTCCGTTGGAATTAGTGATTTGATTTCCAATTTGTATCATCAGCAAAACGGATCAGCTTTGAAATCCAATGTCGGCTCTACCAGTCCGAAGAAATCGAGTGTAAACGATTTGAATCAGGATGAGGACGAAGACGAGGACGATGGATGGGAATTCAAGTCTGCGGAATGGGAAACTGTAAATGAAAACTTCAATGTTAAGGTAAATTGGGTGAAGCTTACGTGAATGCTAGAAACTAGTATAAATTTTGTATTCATTCATTTCAATTTTGTATATTTATGTTTTGGAGTAATAATATATTAAGAAACTAAGTTTTTGGCCTTTGCGCAAGAGGTTCATTTCGTGTTTCTTCATAATAACACGTGCTTGCTTAAATATAAAGACCTTTTTTTCTCTTCTTCATGAATTGCATTTGATTGAAGTGATATTCTGTATTATATTTTTAATTAAGGTTGAAACGCCCAAGCAAGGTAACAGTGCAGTTGGAGCTGGTGCTTTGTTAGACTCATCTGACAAAGTTGGTGAACGGAACCTGGGGTTTGAGTTCAGTCCTATTTCTGCATCTCACAACCTACAGCTAAGTCCGAAAGGTGAATCAAATGAAAATGGAGCTGGGTTTACCATGTTCAATCAAACTTTTGGGAAGTTGGCAAATGCACATTCATGGCCAGGATCAAATCAAACTTTGGTTGGTTGTTTCAACATTGTTTCCTCATTTTATGTAACATTGTTTAGATTGTCAAGGAATATGCATTAATACAATATGATTATGGATAAATGTGTGGTTAATGTGACTGCATTGAATCCATTTTGAGTGAACCCCTTCTTCTCAAGAAACTGAGCTGCACCTTTAAAGCTCTTCACAAAATCAATTTGATTGTCACACTTTGGACCGCATTCGTCATTGCTATTCGTCCATAACTCATACTCAACTCTGTCGTCCGGATGCGGAAGAGCCTCTCTCCAATCAAGATTTATGTGAACAACCTCACCATTCAAGAGAGCTTTCTTGATTCTGTTCCCCAAGGATTTGCTGATAAGAGTAGAAGGAATACTAACCTCTGCAATTTAGGTGAACAAATTTTGATCATATGTTTTTTTTAGAGAATCTTATTTACATTATTACATAATCTGCTTTTGACAGTCAATGTATAGTCGCTATCTGGATCTCCTTCCAATTTCCAAGTTTACACTGCTTTATTGAAACCTCATGAGAGAATTATGGCACTCGATCTTCCCCATGGTGGGCATCGTTCACATGGATATCAGGTAAGTTCTGCTTTTAATTACCATTTGTGTTCATTGCACCTGCTGCCATGAGTTGACAACCATAGCAAGTATGCACTAGCCACTAGGATATGACAAATAAATGTTGCTGCAAAAATGGCACTTAAGTGACTGGTATATTGTCTTTTTTTTTTGTTTTTGCTTATTTAGGTAAGAAAACAATTTATCAAGGAAATAAATTAAAACAGGACTTCTCTTAAGACAACAAAAAAATTTAGTAAATAAACAAAAGGGAAAAGAAGTCGGTTAAAAAATGTATTATATAGGAAGTATGAGCAGTTGTGGTCAAAATCATACAAGGAAGCTAAGAAAAAAAAATCCTTTCCTTAAATTATGCGTGAGAAAGAAATTCAAATATTTCAAATCATATTCTAGCCAAATAAACTTGTGATTAAATTAATTCTCTCTAAACTTCTTTCTTAGATTATAAATGGACCAGACACAGTCTATAAGCATTTCAATAGAGCCAAACCATTTATAAAATATTTGCATCTCATAAAATTGAAAAACAGTGTACTATATGCAAATTACAAATTAGAAGCCTCTTAACTTTTCAGTCTTACTGAAAGACCCCTAATTTTACCTCACTCTCAATCTTTCTTTTACAATTCCATCTACTAGTTTCTTTTAATTATTTTACACTTGTGTTAGTTGTGGGATTAGTAGGCTAAGCCAATGCAGAATTTTCCCAATGCTCTTTCAAAATGGCTCTAGATTCACATCTGTTGCTTGACATTTACTTTCCATTTTGCTGTTAAATTGTTGTTTTGTTAAAAAATTTAGAACAATGTATATCCTATTTCTCTATACAAACTTTCATTTATATCTTTGTGTCATGCAGACTGACACCAAGAATATATCAGCCGTATCTATATTCTTTGAAACAATGCCGTACAGATTGGACGAGAGCACTGGTTATATTGATTATGACCAGGTAGGCAGGTAGCATTGTATTTCTGTATTGTGGACATGTCTGTTTCAATCAAAGACAATTTTTCTAGTTCTAAGTAGCCAGTATTGTTTTTGTTTCACTTGTTGTCACCTTTACCTTTGTCAATATGCAAGTGTTTTCTCATTCAATGTTTGGTTATAGCGTTAGGTTTTGTGCTTATTGACAGTGCTTTTTATCTTTCTTGCATGTCCTAGATTTAAACATGTACTTTATGGCTTGACTTATCTAATATACCTGCAGATGGAGAAAAGTGCAGGAGATACAGGATTGATCATCGTTGGTGGGAGGATGGAAATGCAGCCACATGTATGTTTCACTTTCCTTGTTGTTTCCTGGTTTGTTATTCTTTTTTCCCAAGTACTTGTGCCAGCTTTCTATATGCCAATGGAGAGAAACTCACAATTTAACGTGGATGTTGTTTTTCATCTTTCATAAAAGTGGAAACTCTTAAGTTTTTAATAGCATAAGGTTGTAGCTATCTTGTTTTTCGCTGAAGATGAAAGTTCCTCAGCAATTTTATTTGATAAAGTATGGTAATAATGTGTGGGTTTGCTGCTACTTATTGAGTTTCAGAAGTTTCTATTTGTTTTGAGATTCTTTTATTGGTGATGATTTTGGAATTGTTTATCTCTAGTTTATCTTTGGAATTGTTTATCACTAGTTTATCTTTGGAATTTTGGTATTATCTTATAATCTGATGGCGTAGCTTATGTTCATTGTTTCCACTTTCAGATTTTTATGGATCCTTTTGAAGAAATGGGAATGGGAGCCAGATTTGTTGAGCAGCATCGAAGAAGTGCTAGTGAAAAGGAGGTATAGTCCTGTTGCTAGTTGATGCTAAATTTTATTTTTTACTATCCTGTAGCATGCTAATTTTTGGTTAAACTTTGAGGCAATTCTATTTGTTTTATTAACTTCAATTTAATTTCCGGTCTTCAAGGCTGACCTATTTTAATCTCCTAAGCAGTCAATTCAAATTCCCGTTCTGATATAAATAGGTAATATAAAAGTTCACCAAGTATTGGCTTGATAAAGCCAATAAATAAACTCTGTAAATTTGGACCTTAATGATCAGGTTGCTAAATAAATGGGAGTCAGTTTCAATCCTTTTGTTTAAATTTTTATTTTTTCAAAAAAACGTATGAGGTGATTTTAGTTCTTTTCCCATCTTAAGGTTGAAGACTCTTACTGTTTGTTGTGTCCCTTTTCCTTGATAGGCTTCTGAGAACACTGGAACTGTGGTTCGTGTGGGTCTTCCAAAGAAGAACCCTAAAGTTTTGAAACCCGCTTTCACCATTCCTCCCAAACTGTTACAATCCCTTGTAGAAGACCCTAAATGGGATGAAAAAGGCAGCGTCACACAAAACTACAATTCCTTCGGCGTCGTCAATGACCCTACGACCCGCTTTCATTGTTGTTTATCTCTATTTTGAGACTATAGGAAATTATCACTATAAGTCTATATCACCTTGTTTTAATTTTTACATTTTAGGCCAAGGAAAACATCAAAGAGATTCCATCTTTTCAAAGTAGAAAACTTCTTTTGGCATGCTCACTTAACTTGATGGCCTGCTACTTGAAGACAAGGCAGTATGATGAATGCGTAAAAGAAGGTTCTGAGGTATTCATAATTCATTTCATTTACCATTGCAGTGGGATGTTAAGTTGTAAATTTTAATAGTCATGTGCAACATGTTAGTAGCGTTACTACTATGGGGAAATTTATCAGCCTCGGAGATTATAAATAAATTTCCATTGTAACTAACTGTAATATGCAATAACATGATTGCTATGAATTTACTTTCTGTTTTGAAAATTGGCTGTTTCATCACCTCAATGCGTTAATTCACTTTTAACTATGGTAGGTTTTGGCGTATGACGCAAAGAACCTTAAGGCTCTTTATCGAAGAGGCCAGGCATATAAGGAACGAGGCCTCCTACAGGTGACCTTCAAGTTACTTGATTAACTTCTTATATTTTCATTTATATCTATATTTAATAGCTTTCCTGGTTTGTTTAGGATGCCGTCACTGATTTGAGAAATGCACTTGAAGTGTCTCCTGATGATGATATAATTGGAGAGCTTTTACGGTGCGTTCCTACTCCTTTCCACATAGTTACACCTCTTGTGATTTATAACCATCTAATTATGGGTGATTTATCATCAAATCCTTCTACCATTCAACGTATAAATAATGGTTTGGATGCTGAATTAAGTATATATGTAATGTGATAACAATTTTGTTTTTTACGATAGAATATTGAGTGATCTCTAATAAAGGAGTTGGTATGCTTGAAGTAAACTTCTCTTTGGACTTCTGTTTAATTTAATCAAATGTTTATTTCAGGGACACCAAGGAACAGTTGATAAAGGAAGGTGGTCATTGTGCTCCTGGAAGTATGTGCTCCCATCCCATTTCCTTTTACCCCCTTCCACTTGGTCCTGGCCCTACTATGCTTTATGGCTCTAAATTTCTTATCGATGTCAGATCTAACTTTTTTTTGGCATCATGTTTGAAGGATTAGTAATTGAAGAAATAACTGAAGAAGTTGAGAATGTGCCTTCTGGAAACAACAGAAACTCTTCTACCGAACAAACGATTGATCAACCAAAAAAGTCTGGCGACTCTTCTAAGAGTTACAATATAGCTAACAATGGAAATCTAAAATCAAATTCAGACAGTATAGATACACTGAAGAAAGATCCAGAAGCCATCAGGTAGTTGGATTTTGTGTAAATGTATTAAGAATATTATGCTTTGTTTTTAATTCAATCATTGGTATAAAAATAGATCAAAGAATAGACCCTCAATCTTGTTTTTTATTCTACTACAGATCATTCCAAAATTTTATTTCCAAAGCTGATCCTGCCACTCTGGCTTCTTTGAACATTGGGCAATCCCAAGACGTGTCTCCAGATATGATTAAAGCGTCCTCGGATATGATCGGCAAGATGTCACCCGAGGAACTTCAAAAAATGTTCGACATGGCGTCTTCATTTCAAGGGAACAACCCATTTCTCAGAGGAGGTTCCTCTGATTCTCCTTTCAACTCTGGATCAGTTCCTCCCAATGTGACACCTGATATGCTTAAAACAGCAACTGATATGATAAGTAAAATGCCACCGGATGACCTTAAGAAGATGTTTGAAATGGCATCCTTAATGAAAGGGAAAGAATCTATTCCATCAGCAGCAGTTGTAGACAAGAAAGGAAGAAATTTGTCACAGTCAAACTTCCCATCCTCAAGCACCACTCGTGCTTTTGGAGAATCAAGTTCTTCTGACAATGCGTTTTCAAATATTATAAATGCTTCAGAGCCAAACTTCCCATCCTCAAGTACTGATTTACAAGAACAGATGAGAAACCAGATGAAAGATCCAGCTATGCGACAGGTATGTTCATAAACATGTTTTCGATGTTACAAACCTGTTACAAACATGTTATGTTACAAACCAATTCCTTTGTATTTACTTTTACACATAATACGTAGATCTATAACTGGTTTGCTCTATGTTTGAAGTCATTTTGTTTGTAGATGTTGTTTGAAGTAATTTTGTTTGCAAAAAAGCTAACTTTTCTATGTTCGAAGTCATTCATGTCTTGTATCCTAAAATATTTTTGTTTTATTCATAAGGTATATTGTTTGTTTTAGCGGAAGTTGTCAAACAACATCTATGTCGATCATTTCCAGATCGACATCTTCTTCTGCAGAAAGTGAACAAATAAAGGAAATGCAAGAAGAAATTAATGCACTTAAAGAAAAGAATTCAAAAATTGATGAATTAACACAGGCAATCATATTCTTAACGCAAAGGGAAAAGGCGAGGACAAAGGAAATTGAACTCTTAATGCAAATGCAGAATTTTAGTGGAAGACAGGTATATTATTTTGACGCATTTAAAGTTAAATTTTATGAGTATTATTTTAAAGATTATTATTTTAATACCTTTTTTTAGGGATTGGAATCACCCGCTGATGGTAGACGTTCATCTGAGTCTAGCTACCGTATTGGAGATAATGGAACTTCAGGGGGGACAAATTAGACTTTGCTATGATCGAGATAATTAGATTGTGAACTTTCTCATGTATTTTTGGCATAATGATACTTATTATTATAAGATTAGGAATTGATATATTTTGGGTTTTTTGTACTACTTGACATGATTATGGAACTCGCATTTTACATGATTATGGAACACACATTTTTTTGGATATTATAATGCTTATTTGATGTTAAATATTTTTTATTGAAATTATTTTTACTATATTACAAAGTGATAGAAAATAAAACAAAAAATAATACTATAAATAAATATATTAAAGAAAAAAATAACACAAAAAAAAACTATATTTAAAATTTTTTACATAGATAATAATTTAAATAAAAAATATATATAATAGAAAAAAAAATTAAGACATAAACAAAAGTCATGGCGACAGTAGCGAACTGTCGTAATCAACAATTAAAAATAATCAACAAAAGTCATGACGGTATCGAACCGTCGTCATAAACAATTTAATCAATTTCAAAAGATATTCACGACAGTATCGAACCATCGCCATCAATAATTAAAAGAAACTCAAAAGATAGTCACGACGGTATCAAACAGTCACCAATACTTGATTATGTCAGCTCCAAACCCGTCGTAAACTTGAACGACAGTTTTTGTAACCGTCGCGAAATAGGTTGGGGACACACACTTCTGCGACGGTAAAGCAACCGTCGTGGAAAGCAAATTGCGACGGTTTTAACCGTCGTAATCTACCAAAAATACCTGTCGCAATCTGCCAATTTTCTTGTAGTGAAAGTCAAACAAGCTTTGTCTAATGGGCCAAGATTCTTCCAATAACACCTCCACATGGGCCTGACACCCCCTTTGGTTTGCTTTATATTTTTATTCTCTTTTCTTTTTTTTATTTTAATTTCTTTTAATCATTTAATTGTTTTAATTGTTTTTTTATTATTATTTTTCTACCATAAATTAAATTTCCATAATAAAAACAGAAAATCAAAAATGCAAATATGTTTAATTATATTTAATTTCACCATTAAAATATTTTTGTAAATAAATTTCAACAATTAATTTAGTTTAAATTAGGTTTTAATTCAATATTTTCTTAATAAATAAAATATGTAGAATTAGGTTTTGACATTTTATCTTTTTCTTAATTAATTTTCCCTCATTATTTATTATTATTATTAATTGTTATTTTTGTAAATAAATATGTAAATTAACTAATTAATGTAAATTAGGTTCACTTGGATATTTTTCATTAATAATTAAAATAATTTAGAACTAGGGTTTCCATTTAATTTTAATTTTCCTTATTTTCATAAATACAAAATAAAAACATAAAAACATCTTCTTTTCTTTAATTAAATAATTAATTAGACTTTAATTTAATTTAATTTCAAGCAAAGGGTCAAAACCCTCGGACGTCCTAATTTTTATTCTTTTCGCGCATTATTTTCTTGTGATTATTATGTAACTGTTCAAGGAATGTAATAGTAATTAGGTATTTATTTACTTTCCGCATTTTTATCAAACGGGTCTTTGTATTTTGGCGATGTATAGACCCGCGCCTTGTAATAGCGTAGTTTTTATCTTTCCGCTTTTACTTTCCGCACTCTTAAATTCAAAATTGCATGAAAGAATGTATGGTTAATTAAAAACAAGCGTAGCTCACGATGCCATGATCAAAGATAAACTTAACATGAAAATAACACACAAATACACACACCACTTCTAGGGTACGCCTCACCCGTTGCCTTCGAAACGTGGTCGTCGAGTATAGGACGTTTTAGCGGTCGCTCTGATGTCTAAGATCCAGTCGCCTCAAAACGGTTGCCTCGGATAAAAGGATCTAGGACATTAGGGTAGCTTCTAAGGTGTCTTACTGTTGCTCTGGTGACCACACTGTCCCTACAAACAAATTGACCCGAACACCTCCAACGGTGGTGCTACCTACCTCTCAATGGTGGGATGGCACTACCTTAAGGACTTTTACACAGCCTAATTCCTTAGGGTAGGTAGATGACTCATGGATACTTGCTCTCTTAAAAAACAAAACAAAAACTCTTTTCACATTACACTTTCAAAAAAGCTTTCGAAAACAAATTTTTCAAACACTCTTGAGGACAGATACAAAAGTTATTCAGAAATCTTTCAAAGAAACTTTTGCAAAACCCACTCACATTTTGAAAAGCAAACATTTTGAAAAGCAAACATTTTGAAAACATAAAGAGCAAGTATCTAAGAGCCCATGGATAACCATGGATAGAAAGGGTGATAACACCTTCCCTTTCTATAAATCTACCTCCCGAACCGAGAAACTATCTCATAAGGAATTTTGCTGTGCTTTTGTCCTGTCCATGTTAGAGAAAATAAAAGACGGTGGCGACTCTTGCTTCCACGACATTTCGCGAACCAACGTTAAACAGTCAGTTCCAAATCCACCGATCACATAGTTTTACACGGACTCATCATAAAGTAACCCTACACAGGTTCCTTCTTAATTTCAGATGAAGTTTTACACGGACTCATCATCAGGCGACCCTACACCGGTCCCTTCTCTCTTCCAAGATGAAGTTTTACACGGACTCATCCTCAGGCGACCCTACACCGGTTCCTTCTCATTTCCAAGATGAAGTTTTACACGGACTCATCCTCAGGCAACCCTACACCGGTTCCTTCTCAATTTTAGATGAAGTTTTACACGGACTCATCCTCAGGCAACCCTACACCGGTTCCTTCTCCTTCAGATGAAGTTTTACACGGACTCATCATCAGGCGACCCTACACCGGTTCCTTCTCGTTCCAAGATGCAGTTTCACACGAACTCATCGTCAAAATAACCTTACCCCGGTCCATCCAGAAGTTCTACACGAACTTATCCCGAAGTAACCTTACCCCGGTTCATCCAGAAGTTCTACACGAACTTATCCCGAAGTAACCTTACCCCGGTTCATCCAGAAGTTCTACACGAACTTATCCCGAAGTAACCTTACCCCGGTTCATCCAGAAGTTTCACACGAACTTATCTCGCAGTAACCTTACCACGGTTCATCCAGAAGTTTCACACGAACTTATCTCGCAGTAACCTTACCCCGGTTCATCCAGAAGTTTTACACGAACTTATCCAAGGTAACCTTACCCAGGTTCCTCCAGAAGTTTCACACAAACTTATCCTGAAACAACCCTACACCGGTTCCTTCTCTTTCAGATGAAGTTTCACACGGACTCATCATCAGGCAACCCTACACCGGTTCCTTCTCCTCCAAAAGTTTTACACGAACTCATCATCAAAGTAACCTTACTCAGGTTCCTCCAGAAGTTTCACACGAACTTATCACAAAGTAACTTTACCCAGGGTCCTCCAGAGGTTTTACACAAACTTATCCCGAAGTAACCTTACCCAGGTTCCTCCTTACAATTTCCCGACGTAGTTTTACCCAAACTCCTTGCAAAGCAACCTTACCTAGGTTTCTTCCCAGTTCCAAGATGCAGTTTCACCCAGACTCATCATCAGTCAACCCTACACAGGTTCCTTCCTTCCAAGATGCAGTTTCACACGGACTCATCATCAGTCAACCCTACACAGGTTTCCTTCCTTCCAAGATGCAGTTTCACACGGACTCATCATCAGTCAACCCTACACAGGTTTCCTTCCTTCCAAAATGCAGTTTTACACGGACTCATCATCAAGTAACCCTACACAGGTTCCTCCTTTCTAAATGAAGTTTTACATGGACTCATCATGAAGTAACCTTACCCAGGTCCCTTCTCAGTCCAGATATGCAGTTTACCTCCAAAGTTAGACTTCCCTAACAGAATCTTCTACAACAACAGGTATGCAAGTTCTCGCTAAGGAATCTCTTATGCGATCGACACTCCTGCAAATGGCATCTATAAGCCCATCCTTCTACCAACAATCTCCAAATGGCATCTGTAAGCTCATTCCCGACATCACAATGTTGATACTACACCATGCGAGTGCAAATTTTTGGGCACTCTAGTGTTCAATTATCTTCCACCTTCGGATCACGAAAGGCTCGAAATCCAATCTATATCCTCAAGTTTAAGAAAATTGAACAGGGGCAACTGTTGTATCCCAAAATTTGCCCTCCCATATTTCTCAAAATATTTCAAGAAAAATTTACAAGTCCAACCCGGGGCGTCATATTCAGGTGTTCTTTCGCCAAGATATCTCTGATAACGTATTCTCAAATTCAGGTTCGGCTCAAGAGTCAATTCTTTAAAGAAGGTATCCGAATGTGTGAGTTTTCTTGAAGAAATATGGTGAAAAAGTGTGCTGAAAGTGAAGTTTTTACGCGTTAAAAAATTCATAACTTGAAGATCGTTACTCGTTTTGAACCCGTTCCGGTGGCCAAAATTCCATCTTG